GACACACTATTTGTTATCAAAATATTAAATGTATCGAATTACAGTTAGTTTTACACTAATGTAAAGAATATGATAGAACAAGTTAAATTTATTTACTGTACACACAACTCCAAATCACAGAGCTCCAAATTTTAAAATTTGTGACGCGAGTGGGAAAGACACAAGAATATTGCATTTGGAACATACTGTACTTAACAACAAAATGTTCGTGAAATCAATTTGGCTGGCCTATTCGCAACTGGCCTATCCACATCAATAGCAACAATTTCTATTACAGACTAGGCCTGGAAGGTTACACACAATTGGCTGGTGTAGTTACAGAAACTGTAGATATTGCAATCAATGATTTCTGTATCTGTATCATCATGTACAAACACAAGAAGGCTGGTTGTCGCGTACGTCGGTCAGGTTGAGGTGTGTAACAATTAAATATTGTAATGAGCTTTAGTCGTTAATTTATGAACATTAATGAGTCCAAAACAGCTTTAAATTATTTTATATTAGGCGACATCCGAATATTCTCACTCAAGCAATTCCTGTATCTATAGCATCAAAATACCCAGGGTAGTCTTCAGTCCCTAATCGACCACAGAGTGCAAGATGGGATGACCCTTCTGTCCGATTTCTTTAGCCTGTTACACCTACCAAATGAATCCATCGATATCCAACATGTCGACATTTCCTATTAGAGAAGTTCAATAAGAAAGTTAAAACAGACCAGTTAAAACATTTAGAGTGACTATTCTTACACCATTCAAAAGAAGTGCTGGACAAGATCGATAATTGTGACAGAGCAAAATGTGTTAAAGATAAAGTATCTAAGAAAAGTCTTCTCCACAAGTATGACCCAGTCTTAGCTGACGATGGAATTATTCGTATCGGAGACCGGCTTGAGAGAGCTGATATACCCTATGAATGTAAACACCAAGCGGTCTTACCAAAAGATACTCCTATCGCAAGACTTATTAATAAAGAAGCGCACAAAGCTACTGGACACTTTGGGAAAAATGCTATATTAGCAAACGTCCGACACGCCTTTTGGATATTTGATGCTAGTCAACTCTGCAAGAAAGTAAGCAGATAATGTGTAACCTGTCGTCGGTACCAGGCAAAGCCATGTACAGTAGTCAGTTTATGGCTAATTTA